TGGAGCCAGCCGTCGAATAAACCACCGCTTTTATTCTAGTAAACGAGTATGAAACTATAGTGCTCATAGAGCCAATGCTGCGCAGGCCAACCAAGAATTCCATCCCGTGATAAGGGATGGAAGGCTTGGTCAGCCTGGGCAGGATTGGCTCCAGCATCTGACCCACGAGTCGTAAGCTCACTAAGCAGAGTCAGCTGACCTCACAGACCTGAATTTGTCATTTTTTAGATGAACTGAAAGATCTACCCAATGCGCTCCTTAATCGCAGAGCTCACATCATGTTTACTAAGAACTGTTTAGAACAAGTCCCAATTTTGCAGATCGATGGAGGTGGTAAATACAAGTAGTCAGTACAAGCATGGGAAGATAGAAAAAGGTGCATATTAAAGCCACAAAATTACGACCCTACGAATAGATCAACGGAGTGAAGCTCCAGCATTGGGGTCGTGAACCTTGTGCCGCTACTGGTCTCACCATGTTCTCTCGCCTTCGAACCTTTTCTTTCACCGCGACGCCCAGTACCTCTTATCGTAGACTTGGGAAAACCCAAGTTTTGCATCGATTTATCGATCTATTCAAACAGTACTAAAAGTAATAGTAACAGCTGACAATTCGTGCTCCCTTCTATTATTCACATTTGAAGCGTTGAAATGCACGCAATCTCTTATCCTTCTTAGCAGTCTCTTATCTTTCCATATGTTTGCTTCTAGCTGAATTCTACACGACTTAGCGAGGAGCAGGTCCATATTTTAGTGTTTTCTGTGATTTCTTTTCTTTTTTGCCACTTTCATTATCGATCGTCATAGCCATATCAATTCGATCGAGTGGTGAGCAATTAAACGCTTCAAGTGTGCGGAACTTGAAGGGAGCCTCTGTTAGTTGTTAGTCGGTTTCAGGTGTACGCCCCTCACACCTGGGTACATTCGAGTCAGACATAAACACGGAGTATGGGAGCACTTCATGTTTTCAGCAATTCATCTTTGACCACGGTCGAGTCCTTCTAATTCATTTTATCTAAGAACCAGTTGGAAATGGCAGTCAGAGCTGAGAGGTGCGTTCAAGGGCAGTGCACCTGACAAACAAATATTAGGGAACTCAGAGGACCTCTACAAAACAGCTGTGGACTAGTGAAAATCAATTATTACCAAATATTCTTCAATTATTACCAAATATTCTATCGTCATTCTTGGGTTAAGGTAAAGCAGCCAATCAGCACGCTCTGATTGATTTATGGGCCCACGCTGAGCTACATGTAACTCATATTCAGTATCATAGATGAATCAGAATGGTCTGTTTCAATGAGATGTGAAGACTACAATAGTCTTCAGGAGTTCCTATCCTTCCAGACAGGGTTCCGGCATAGGGCTAAACATTAAAACCATAGCGCACAATCAGTCGGCTGAAGCCATTGCATCCGTGAATATAATTGGAGCAATGAAGTACTGCTAAGTACGTGAAGCAAAGGCTTGAACAAATGGCTGGAAACATTGAACAAGGACTTCATCTTATTGAAATGCAGATTACTACGAAGAAGAGACAAAAAGCGTCAACGAGGATGGGCGAATGAGGATCATATGGTATGAAATATGTATGCAAGAGCGGCTTAACCTTTGCATTGCAAGCAACAGCGGAAACTCATGGAAAGGGACTGGAAAACTCTTAGCTCCCATCATCCATACTTTCCTGGCCCTAACAACGGCAAAACTTCCGTGCTTAGAGTAACTGCGCTACTGGTGATGGCATAGATCCATTTCAGTTTATCGCAAACTATGCCTTCAATAAATTAGAATCTATTTGCAAAAAGACTTACAATAGTTGAGGAAATCTGTGGGCCTAAGATTGCTTAAAAAATGAATCTGCGAAATGTTCGCACTGCAGGATTTGAATAAGCCTTCATCAGTAATAAGTTGCTAAATTCAATGACTCCTTGAATGATGGAACCCAGACGTTTACAAAATAAGAGCGATTTTTTTGTCTGAGAATCCCATTCGTTCACTATTATTGCTTTCCAACCATTTTCTTCTTCCAGATAAGCCCGATATCCCAATCCCGAGAAAATGGAGGGCTTGACTTGTCTGTGGAAATTCGAAACCGGAATTAGCCCCGGTCAGTGTATAGTGTGATGCCCATTTTATACCTCAGGCAATCTTTTCAACAAAACAGAATACTGTAAAAAAACTTTATTTATAAAGACATGATCACAGTAGAGTTCACCTACACTTTGGTTAATTTTATCTACAACAGAACCGACCACCGAATGATAAGCATCAGATTTTGAATCCAATAAATGAGGCTTTCACCGGCAAGAAACGACCAGCTTATCAAAGGAGCAATTATCGGAAAGGGGAATTTTTGAATAGTAAAAATAAAGCCGTCCATGAATCAAAAAATACGGTATCGCTCTATCCACAGCGATACTCGTACTTACACTATGTACAATCAGTACTATGTTTTTCAGCAGTTTAGAATCCGTGAATTTTTTCAACACTCTGCCAGAGATGATCAACATCAGACACTCGGCGACCCTGAAAATGGCTCAGATATTGGGCGACTGATTATAACCCTGTGATAAAAGCTTGCTAATTTAGGGTAAAATGGAACACTTGGCTAA